ACTGTTACGCGTGAACCGGCCCAGGAGGACCCGGTTCAGCCCGGGTCTACACCAGGCGGGGGCGGAAACGCCCAGAGGAGGGGGCGGACAAGGTGGACCCTACTTGGGGCTGATTTAATTATGTGGGAGGGAAATTTTTGAATGCAAAGGGCTGTTTAGGTAATTTGTAGGAATCCTTGATTGTTAATTAGGAGGATTAGGAGGGAGAGGGGCTCATCTTGAATTTGAATCATTTTTGAGATCTAGGGTTTGTGTTCTTGTGCTCTAGGCTACGGCTAGAGATTGGAGAGTTTTTCCTTCCTCTCGAATTGAAGGAAAGTTGTATCTTGCAAGTGCTTTTCATCCCTTATTAGAATAAAAGTGTTTGCTTTGTTTTTCTTACGTTTTCTCCTTCGTATTCTCTCCGATTCCACTGTTTTTGGCTGTTTTTACTGTGTGGACAGCAGTTTTCATCCTAGATCTATTGGGTTTTGGTGAGAAACACTTGGAATTCCAAGTGTTTCCTATCATAATATCAATTATTTGTTGTTAGGTGATATATTTAATTTTCACTAATTTCATTTCCTCTATGTTCTCCTCCCTCAGTTTGATTATTTACTAGTAGCATCTCATTACAAAAAAAAAATCTTCCAATTGCGCCCAGCACAAGTTGAATTCCCTAAAATTGGTTATTACATGGTGGCATTTGGTTATCAGAAAATTGTAATCTAGTTAATACCAGGCATTAAATAATAACAACATATAAGAAAGTAATAATTTGCAGCTTCCATGCAATAAACAAATTAAGTGTCTTAAAATTGGCAGCAGATGGAGGCAAGCTCACGGCATGCATGTGAATAGGGAAATAGGATTATATTTGGTATCTCAAATAGTTGCATGAAGAAAACCGAACTTTACTAGGACAAAAATAATACAAATTATTCAAAAGACTAAAAAATTGCAGTTAACAATCAACAGTATAATATAATTTATACTAAATATCAAGTTATCATTGACTAATTAATCAACATATTAGATGCTACATCTACAGCCACCTGCAACAAAGTAAAAAATGCATGCAGCACATGTGTATATCTTCTATGCGCCAAAATGTACAGCATAAAATCTCTTTTCAGCAAGTTTTACTTGAAACCAGCTTAGTAGAGGTAATAAACCAGCAGTGTGGATCTAACCTACCAAACTAAAATCTATAAATCCCAAGCTTTTCAAATATTCCACGAATATCTATTTACCACAATTACTAATTTTTCCAACAGGTACATAGAAGACATGAAATAACTTCGTTTTGTACCACAAGGCAAGTTAGAGTCTAAGAAGCCGCGTTGCACAAGAAAACGCTGTGCAGCAAGGACAACACTGTTTACCATAGTACATACTGATCCCCACGACTATCATAAATAAGTACTCTGTACCCGTAAAACCACAAAATTCCAAATTATTCAAGAGGAGTCAACCCTCCACACCTCCCACCTCCCACCTCACATAGAAAATAACATAAATGCAAAAGCAAAAAAAATATAATGAAAAGGTAACGTATGCAAGATATTATGCAGATCAAAGAGCACGCAGAGTAAGGTAAGTGACAAGCCAAAATCTTATAAGCAAGCACTACATCCCCATCTGCACAAGAATAACTCAGATATTTAAAAGATAAAATTTAATCTAATTTTAAAAAAGCCAATGGAACTTGGCAGATGTCCTACGTAATATCGTATGGTCACTAAAAAATGCTCTAAAATTCCTCAACAAAACTTACAATATATAACACGTAATTTGAAGTTCATAATTTTCAAATATACATTCCTAAATAGGCCTGAACAATTGAACATATAGCACTACCACTACCACTACCACGTCAATGAATGAAAAAAAGTTTGGAAGTTACAACATAGGACTCAAATGCAGATATGAGATCCACCATTCAAGCTGTTGAATAAAAGTTTATTAGAAAGAGCAAAAGTTAAATTATGATCATTTTTTGGTAATAATTGCTAAGTTCCATGATGCACATCTAACAAAACCACAGCGACCCATCATCCTTCTAACTCTAAATTATAAAATTAGGGTGGCAAGAAATAATTAAAAAACAACTTAAGCAAGCGAACCTCATCAAGATCCTCAAAAGTATCTTTGTCAATAGTCAATGTTTTCCCAATGCGAAGCAAGCTTGTAATATCTTTGTGATCTTTTCCACTTTCAATGATGTCTTTGTGAGCATAAACACCATTTGAAATTTTCAGTGTCAAAGTCAAATATGATGGCCCTTTTGAACTTGGTCGAATTATGCTCTCTCCAGAATCCTTGTTAGCAAGGAACTGTCACAAAAAGTATTTTAAGAAGAAAATCATAACTTGGTACATAGAAGGAGAAATATATATGGGTAGTAAAACATTGATACTCTGACAACTGAAAAAAGTAAACAACAAAGATTTAAAAAAAAAAAATTAGCATACCGCCATTGCTTCATCAGCAGTGACATTTTGAAACCGAGGATGGCTGATCATTCTTGGCTTGAATCGCTTCTTAGCAAGTTCCTTTTCCTTGCGAGCCTTCTCCTGCTCGCTATGTAAAGTAACATCATCTTCTTGATAGAAAGGATCTAGGTTCTGAGGAATATAATGCCTTTTCCTCATTTCACTTTCTTTACAGATTAAATTAACTAAACACCTACTTTTAACAACACTCTTGATTTTGCATGTTAGTATATCACCTTCTTTCACCTTTTCAGGCTCAAAGCCTTCATCTGAAAAGTCTTCTGCATAGATAAAACCTTTGAGACCAGAATCAAAAAAGCAAACAACACGAGAATCCTGCACATAGCGTACACTCACTTCAACAATTCTCCCTTCAGAGAGTGAATCATCACTTTCACCAGATAGCATACTAAACTCCTCATCTGGATTAGGTTCAGTAAATGGATGCCGCCAGTCTTTAAACCCATGAAGTAGTTCATTCTTTATATCTTCCAGAGTTTCCTTCTTATCAGTCCCAAAACGCTCAGCAATGCTCTTTGCATATTCTTCAATTACAAGAACTTTAAGCATGTCTGATTTTTCCCTTACATGCTCAATCGCCATTTCTAGAACATCGTCATCCATGTCATTGATATCATCCGGAGCATCCTCAGAATAGACGTCCTTGGCCATGGTTTTTGCCAAATCATACGATTCTGGATGAATTCTTGTATCATCAAGCAAATCAATGATATGACTAGTAGCTGCTGCTGCCCCACTTCGGCGAACTCTCAGAAAGCCGACAGCATTAATGAAAACCTTTTTCCTGATGATCTTTCCCACTGGAATTTCTTTCCGATTGAAAATAGAACCAGACCTTACAAAGGCCCTCTGTAAAGAAGAAGCTTTTCGTGGCCCAAGACCTGCAACAAATTGCAAGGGAGCAAAGAGCCATTCATGACTAGAAGCTAAATTAACATCAACACCTATTTGGTTGGTTGCATCAACCATTATCTGCTCAACCATGTCATACTTCTCGTCAGGGGTAAGGAAATCATCCAAAGGGCAAAGCTTCCAAGACAATATTTCTTTGCCGGGTCCACAAAGTGTTGCAACCATTGCCAAAGGATTTTGAAGGTACCGACCAAGCGCCACAGCACGCTTTACAATGCCTGCACAGATGTGAAGTGCTACAGCAAAAAAGAAAGAACTCCAAAAAATTGTATGTAATAAGCAGTTTGAAAATGACTTTACCTGGCTGTCCTGGTAGTTGATCTGAAGAAACTCTAGCATTCTCAAACAACCGAGGTAAAGATTCATCACCCCATACTATAGTGATGTTCATATCTTGGCTGACATCTCTAGGATGATCTTCCACTATTTTGAAAATGACCTAAAACATTTTGCAGAAAAGAATCGCTTATTGATGTTAGAAATATAGATCTTTACTAGATTAATTATTGCGCCAGTACAAACCTACATATATAAATACAAAAGGTGAGAATAATAATAAATAAATTAAAGAATAATATCCTCAATAATTAGGATATATTACAATAATAAATATTATAAATTCCTACAATAAAACATAAAAACATGTAATAATACTTATAAGGTAACATTTTTAAACATGATAACTCTAATAACTCTAAAATCCCGCATAAAACTCATGATGTGATAGCAAGAAGCATCTAAGCAATAAGCTTTTTAATAGCTTTTCAAAATTCTTGATCCAAGTCAATTGACACTGAAAAAAGAAATTAACTTGGAAATTTCAAACAGCCAAAGGATTAGTATTTAGGACAAGTATTGTCGAGCCCAAAAATGATGGGCTCATAACTTGAGACAAGAACTACAACGAAGGGATCATCATGAGAGACCGTGAAGAGGATATTAACAGAAGCTTCGCGGGAAATGAGTTATCCATGGGCGCAGGAGATGAGAATATTGCGGGATATTGAATCGCCAAGAGAAAAAAAGATGGAGATGAGGGGACTGTCACTCGGGACAATAGTTTCCAGGTGCTCTAGAAGACAAGCATAGAAACGCACAAGTATTTTGGGTCAAATTATTGATTCAAGCATTGGAAGGTAGATGTAAAGACATGTGAAACGAAGATGACCCAAGCAAGACGGTTATACAAGATCCAAGCAGGACCCAAAATAGACAGAGGACAAACAAAGCAGGACAAGCGCTTGGTACGAAGACATCGAGTGTTACAAATAGATTAAAAAGAGACCTTGGCTAGAGTTATTGAGAATGAGCCGAATTGACTGAGGGTTGTATGATATCAAAGCTATAAGGCTAGCATTGTCGAGATCGAAGAGTCAGCCAACATAAGGTGGAGACCACTTGAGATCATGGCTCTAATACCATATTAGAAACCATAAAAGGCTACATTATCATGTGATTAATTATGGTACTAGTAAAAGCAAGTCTATATAAAGGCAAAAGAATCAACAAGAAGAAAAATACAAAAAAAAAGAAGAATATCCATTATAAGGACGATATATTACAGTAATAAAAACCTATAAATTCCTATAACAAATATAAAAAACATGACAATATTGATATAGTAACGTCTTTAAGCATAATAACTTTAACAAATGTGCAAATAATTCGAAACTAGAAAATACCAAGACAAATTGCTAGCTACATCCCAAAGAAATCTCCATTTAAAACTCTAATTGAAAAAAAGATGGAGACGAGGGGACTGTCACTCGGGAATGTTGAGACTCTAGCCAAATTTGCTTAAAAATATGTTAAACCTTGAACCTCTCCTTCCAATTTCATGTTCGATCTAGTTTTCACAAGTTTGCTTAAAAGTATACTATTTACATATCCAACAACGAAAATAGTCTATTTATCTAAATTACCAATTTGTTAACATCGTTTCCCACCTTCTCGAAACCATTGTAATTTCTCGCCTTCCCAAAACAACTAAACCCTAAACAACGAAGAAAGAGAGGAAGTCATGACATGATCTCACTGGGGGAAGGGCATCGAGCAATCAATGACACGTGCATGCCAAGAATGCCCTTGAGGATGAAGAAGAGATAACGGAAGTCGTGACAGGATCTCGCTCGTAATGAGCATTGATGGGACTGGCACATCAGGATCTAGCTAGAGAACTGAATCAATAGGACCGATGACATGTGCAACAATGGAATGTTACATATAGGTTTTTTTTTTTTTTTGGTTATTTAAAGAATTTAGTGTTTGAGTAAAAAGATAATTTTGGGTGTTAGATATGTAAATAGCATAGTTTTAAGCAATATAGAATGATATTCATTGGGGAAAAATAACCCCTGCTGGTTGGATAGATATAGCGTACATGATAGGATGGCATAAAAAGTTTTATGAAATAGTATCGGACAAAAATCTAGAGAAATGATAGCTATTTCCAAAAAATAATTAAATATTCATGCACTGAAATAATAAACGCAAAAGACATGCTACTAGTCACAGTACAATGAACATGAAAGCAGTTAAATAAACTATACAAGTTTTGCAAAAACTTGGGTATCAAATCCTACATATAGGGGTGTGTTTGCCAACATAATTCAAATGTGTAGAAAATAAAAGGAAATGCATTAGAAAGATGGGCCCTTACAAGGACAAAGCTCAGTGCAACTGGGTTAGAGAAAACAAAGCATGATAACAAAGATTGTGAAAACCGAACCGAATATAGAACCGGAAGAATAAGTTCAGGGTTCAATGGTTCAACCGGGGTCGAACCAGGTTTGCACCAGATGACCTAATAAATATGAAAATTATTTAAATAAAATTTAATGACTGAATAATCATGTAATAATATAAATTTTTATTTAAAAATAAATTGAATTTACACAATAATAATATCTTCTATAATTTTATATTTAAACATCTTCAATTTTAAATTTAATTCAAATTTAACAAAAATTTAACTTACATATAAATTTATAAATTTAATATAAATTTTTATTAACTTATGTCATATGTTTAAATATAATTTAAACCTATAAATTATATATTAAATTCATATTATAAATTTTCATTTATAAATTATTAAGGTTAGATCATTTATTATTATTAATTAATTAATTTTTATCATACAAAAATAATAAATGAAGTATATAATTAATTTATCATTATTAATTATAAATAAATGCTATTTACATGATAAAAATTGTATTTAAAAAATTTGTTTTAAAATATATAGTTTATTCGTAAACTTAAGAAGTAAGAACTTCAACTTATTTATCCTCACACCACTTGAGAATTTCCATTTGGTAATGTGATAGGAAATACTTGAGTTCTCAAGTAACCCTAGGGTAATACTTGAGTTTGCAAGCAAATCTAATCGAAATTGATGAGAAAACAGCATAAAATCAGCTGTTTACAGCAGATGGCAGCCATCAATCTCAGGAAAAACAAGGAAATCCATAGGAGAAATCAAGATAGAACTTATCTTCCACTAGTAGCTAAAAGAAAACAACAAAAGATACAATGTTCTTCAATCCGAGAGAAAAAACAACTCTCCACTATTCTCTAGCAAATCCTGGAGCCCAAGCACAAGACAAGATCTCCAAATTTCATTCAAATTCAAGATAAGAAATCATAATTCACTCCAAAGCCTAATTAAACACAAGAGGACTCAAGCAAAATCCCAAAACAGCCCCTCTTATTCAACATTTCCCTCCCAAACACAAAATTTAATGCAAAGTGGGCCCCTCAACCTGCCGCCCCCCTCTGGTTCCGCCTGGTGTAGAGCTGGACTGGTCTTGGACCAGTCCAGCCGACCCCTCCTGGGCCGGCGTAACATTACTCCCCTCCCAAAGATTCACCTTGTCCTCAAGGTGAAAAGAAGGGAATTGATCTTTCATTCTTTCAAATGGCTCCCACGTCGCATCGAACTCGAGGAGACCTTTCCATCCAATCAGCACTTCTTTGTCTCCTTTTTTATCAGATCTAACACCTCGTAGCTCCAGTGGTTCTAATATCATTTCCAAATCTTCAGTCAGTGTCTCTAGTAACTCTGTACTAACTGCATGCTCCCCTATAACTCTCCTCAGCTGAGACACATGAAAAACTGGGTGTGTGATAGCTGATGGGGGCAGCTTCAGAAGTACGCTACTGCCCTGATCTTGTCCAAAACTTCATAGGGGCCAAAGCACATTAGTGCCAATTTCTCATTCCTCCTCGCCACTGTCCTTTGCCAGTAGGGTCGTAATTTTAGAAATACATTCTCCCCCACTTCAAAATGCATGTCCCTCCTGTGTGAGTCCGTCTACTTCTTCATGATTTGTTGTGCCCTCAGCAGCTGTTTCTTTAACTCCTCCAGCACCTTGTCCCTTTCTTCCAGGTAATGCTCCACTAAAGAAACGGGTGTACTTCCTCTCCCATAGTGCACTAGGTGTGGGGGGTCCCTTACATATAGTACTCTAAATGGAGTCATCTAAAAGGCATAATGGTACGATGTATTGTACCAATACTCAGCCCATGGCAACCACTTTGCCCACAACCGCAGTGTTTCAGAAGCAAAACACCTCAAATAGGTCTCCAAACTTCAGTTTACCACCTCCGTTTGCCCGTCTGTCTGTGGATGGTAGGCGATGCTTCTTTTTAGGACAGTGCCCTGCATCCTTAACAGCTCCCTCCAAAACTAGCTAAGGAACACTTTATCTCGATCAGACACAATCGATTCAGGAATCCCATGCAGTCTCACAACCTCCTTGATAAATGCTGCTGCTACTGACACTACAATGTAAGGATGTCGTAAGAGGATGAAATGTGCATATTTGCTAAGTCTGTCAACCACCATCATAATGACCTGAATCCTTCTAATCTTGGTAAGCCGTCGATGAAATCCATGAACAATTCCTCCCAAACTCTGTTTGGAAGTGTCAATGGTTGTAGTAGTCCTCCTAGCGTCATGGCCATGTATTTGTTTCTCTGACACACTTCACACCTCGCCACCATCTCCTTAACATCTTCATGCATCCCTCTAGTAGAGCTCGGCTGCTATCCTCCTGTATGTCTTCTAAACTCCTGAATGGCCTCCAACTGCACTGCCATGGAACTCCTGCAACAAGTGAGGAATATGTATGAAAGTTTGTGGCATCACAAACCTCCCTTGATACAATAATCTATCCCCCTCAATGCAGTAACCAGAATGGCTACTCTTGTTTGTCCTCATTTCTTCCCTGATTTTTCTCAATTCTTCATCCCGCATGCTTTCTTCCTTGATGGCCCCCAGTTGACCATCAAGGGTACAGACAGCTAATTTCTGGAGCTCCCCCACACATCTGGATAAAGCGTCAGCTGCTTTATTTTCCAAACCTGACATGTACTGAATCTCAAAATCATAACCCAATAGTTTGGATAGCCATCGCTGATTGTCCTCAGTTACCATCCTTTGGTCCAAGAGGTGCTCCTCTGATCAGTCCGGACGATGAAGTGTCTCCCCAAAAGATAGGGGCGCCACTTCTGAATAGCCAAGACAATGGCCATCAGCTCCCTCTCATACACTGATTTCAATCTTGCCCTGGTTGATAGCACATGATTGAAGTGTGTTATAGGCCTATGGTTCTTCATCAACACTGCTTCAACCCATATCCTGATGCATCGGTCTCTACTACAAAGACCTAGCTAAAGTCTGGAAGAGCTAGAACAGGAATAGTGTTCATGGCTTTCTTTAACCTCTCAAAGGCCTGGGTCGTTGCCTCTCCCTAGGAAAAGTTGTCTTTCTTCAGCTGCTTAGTCAAAGACATACAATGATATCGTACCCCTTCACAAACCTCATGTAATAACCAGTCAATCCCATGAAACCCCTCAACTCCCTTATGTTCCTAGTCAGTGGTCATTTTTGCATTGCCTCAATTTTGGTTTGGTCCGCCGCCACTCCTTGGGATACCACATGTCCCAAGTACTCCACGCTGGACTGAGCAAAGCTGTATTTCTTCAAGTTGGCTCTAAGTTGATGCTCATGTAGTACTTCTAAGACCACCCTCAAATGTTCCAAATGCTCCTCCACAATATTATTGTACACCAGAATGTCATCAAAAAAGACCAGGACGAACTTCCTGAAGTGCAGCTTGAATACCCTATTCATCAAAGAGTGAAAAGTAACATGAGCGTTAGTCAATCCAAAGGGCGCTACCATAAACTCATCATACCCTTCATGTGTCTTAAAGGCTGTCTTTGGAACATCTGCCTCCCTCATTCTGATATGGTGGTATCCGGATTTTAAGTCAAACTTCGAAAACACCACTGCCCCATATAGCTCATCAATCACTAGAATTGGGAACTTGTCTGGTACAGTGCCCTTATTCAGAGCCCTATAATCCACCCAAAATTTCTAACTCCCATCCTTCTTTTTGACCAGGAGGATTGAACTAGAAAAATGGATAACACTTGGTCGGATGATCCCCGCCTTCAACATTTTTCGGATCAACTCCTCAATCTCATCTTTTTGAATCTGTGGGTAACGGTAAGGGAGGACGCTGATCGGTGTCTCCCCTTCCTTCAAGATAATGACATGCTCCAACTCCCTCTGAGATGGTAAACCCATAGGAGGTTGAAAAACCTCGCTGAACTGGTGTATGAACGGCTGCACTGAAGAGGGAATATTGCCTTCTTCCTCTAGTCTGTGACCCCTTCCGAGCGATGCAACTCCACCAAGTAACATCCTCCCTCCTCCTGAATGATCCTGATTAGGGATTTGAGAGAAACCCCAGACTTGGTCAGCCCAACATCACCCTGAATCGTCCTCCTTCCCCCCATCACCAGTTCCATCCTCAATGTACTCCAATTGATCTTAGTCTCCCCCAATGTTTGCAGCCACTTCTTCCCTATGATGACATCAGTACTCCCCAATTCCAAGGGAAGGAAGTCCTCCCTCACCTGGATCCCCTGAATCTTTAGCACTACCCCTCTACAAACTCCTATACTCATTTCCACCTTTCCCATGCCCATCATCACCCCATAGCCTCCTGTATCCACTAATTCCATCCCAAGCAGCTCAATGATCTGGGTGGAAATGAAATTGTGGGTTGCCCCACTATCTATCAACACCATTACCTCACTGTCAGCTATCTCTCCTTTCAATTTCATAGTGTGACTCGGAGTGAATCCAACTACAGAGTTTAGAGAGACTTCTGCCACATCCAGATGCAACTTCTCCTCCTTTTCAGATATGCTCCCACCTCCCTCCTCGTCTTCCTCGTCTTCACAGACAAGGAGAACCTGAAGAGTTCAGTCCTTGCACCTATGCCCTGGCATGTACTTTTCATCACATCTGAAGCACAACCCTTTTGCCCTCTTCTCTTGCATCTCCTTCTCCGTCAGCTTTTTGAATTATCCGCCGTTTCCCCCTCCTCCAGTTTTCTCCTTTGGCACTTCCTTCAGACTCCCTGGTGTTGTCCCTTTTGAAGGCAAGAAGGTGATAGTCATTCTGTATGATCGCCCTGAATAGTTTCCTCGAGCCCCTCTTTCTGATTTCTTATGATCTTCCACCAACTGCGCCAACTACATAGCCTTCCCTAGGTTTCTCGGCTCTAGCACTCTAACTGTTGTTTGAATCTCAAGTTCTGACTCTGAAATATGATCCAATCTGCTAGCCAAGTACTCAAACTTGTCACTGCAATCTGCCATAGTCCCCTCCTGAGTCAAAGCGAAGAATTGCTCATAGAAATCTCCTCCCCCATCGACTTGGAAACGCTCTAAAAAGCAATTTTTGAACTCTCGCCAGCTCCGGATGGGCTCCCTCCTGTCACGTCACTGATACCATGCCAAAACTTTTCCTTCCAAACACAATCCCGCCGCCGTCAGCTTCTCTTCCTCCGTCAACCCGTTGACAGCAAAGTAACGCTCCATCTTGTAGATCCAGCCATGGCCATCTTCGCCCTCAAAGACAGACATCTTCAGCTTCCTCACCCATGGGTCTCCCCTGTTTCCTCTAAATCCTCCATAACCTCCCATTCCTCGAAAAGGAGGTGCTCCCCAACCGTCATGATCTTCCCTCCGGCGATTATACCCGAACCCTTCATCGTATTCCCCTCTTCTCCCTTCAAAATCAACACCTCGGTGATGAAATTCTTCCCTTCTCTCGACGAAATCAGCACCCCTTCGGTCATTTCCCAAACACATATCCTCTCTAGAAAGTGGCTTCAAATGTGGCATGTCGTCCTCTCCCTCAATGATCTCACTTCCGAATTTTCCCTCCCCTAAACGGGTTCGAATTCCCTCCTACGTCATGGCCTCCGGTGGTCTCTCTTGCTTCCAATGTCGTAGGATTGGTCTTCTTCTCCAGCAATTTCTTCAACATCTCTTCCATCGTCATGAATTTCCCTTCTATCCTTTCATTGTTGGAGGTGATTTGATTTTGAAAATCAAAGAATTTTCCCTCCAAATCTGATTTTAATTGACCGATCTCGCCTTCCAAGATTTCTACCTCCTTCTCGACCATCTCTCTTCCCAAGAATCACAAGAGATCTTCTTTCGGATGTCAAAAACCAGCTGAAATTTCAGAATTTCAGCCGCCGATAGTCCCAAATTGAGGCTCTGATACCCATTTGAAAGGAAATACTTGAGTTCGCAAGTAACCCTAGGGTAATACTTGAGTTCGCAAGGAAAACTAATCGAAATTGATGAGAAAACGGCATAAAATCTGCTGTTTACAGCAGATGGTAACCACCAAACTCAGGAAAAACAAGGAAATCCGTAGGAGAAATCAAGATAGAACTTATCTACCACTAGTAGCCAAAAGAAAACAACAAAATATGCAATGTTCTTCAATCCGAGAGAAAGAACAACTCTCCACTATTCTCTAGCAAACCCTAGAGCCCAAGCACAAGACAAGATCTCCAAATCTCATTCAAATTCAAGATAAGAAACCCTAATTCACTCCAAAGCCTAATTAAACACAAGAGGACTCAAGCAAAATCCCAAAACAACCCCTCTCATTCAAACCTGCCAAATACAAAACTTAATGCAAAGTGGTCGCCTCAACCTGCCGCCCCCCCCTCTGGTTCTAAGCCGCCCGGTGTAGAACCGGACCGGTCCAGGTTGGACCTGGACCAGCCGGCCCCTCCTGAGCCGGCGTAACATAATGCTTATATTGCTTTTCAAGTTTGCATGAGGTTAGAACTCACAAGGAATAATGGAGCCATGTGAAATACTTAGATATAATCTCTTTAATAAATAAATAAATAATTTTAATAAATTAAAATTTAAGTTAATATTCATTCTAAATAAATTAATTTAATTTATTTAAATAATTTATTGAACCAAAACCGGTTCACCGGTTGAACCAGCGATTTTGATCGGTTTAGTTAAGTTCAATGTGAAACCGGTTTTAATAATAGACTGGACCGGCCTTATGACTGGTTCACAGTTTGAACCGGCCGGTCCAATATGATTTTAAAAGCTTGATGATAACCATAGCCTAATAAATTAGAACAACAATTCAACAACAAAAAGAAAAAATTTATCATTCATAAAAAAAATTACTGCAGCAAGTAAATTAGTTCCGCCAAACAAGAAAAAATACTAGTCAACATACCTTAAATTCAACAAGGGAACAAGTAATACATGCACTGAGAGTACAAAGGTTCAATATGTGTAATATAACACATAGATCAGATTAAATAGGGTGATCAAAAAGCCAAACATTTGTTCAAGTTATTCCATACTGAAAAAAATGTTGAATATACCTCATAAATGTCATCCTTAAGCTGTCTGCATGACAGATTGGCAGCTCCTAAGCATACAACATGAGGCTGGTGTTCAGTCATAAATCTTAAAAGCCGGTCTTGATCACCCTTTTTACGTTGCTGCTCAGCAACACCCTGGGATTTTATGCTAATGGAACCTGCGTAAATAATATCAACAACTTCTCCAGCTGAATCCAGCATTACAAAAGTATTAGCAGGCTTTCCAGGTCCCCAACAGCAGGTCATAACTCTTAATTCCGGTTCATCTTCATTCTCAATGTCAACAGAATTACCCTTTCTCTGATAAGGGCCTACAGAGACCTTATTCCACAACTGCTTTCCATATTCCATCAAAAGCCAATTCTTAGCTCTGGCCATCAATAGAGATCGTGCTTCCTTTTCCATTGAAGGAAGTATGAAATTATGAAAGGAATCCTCTAATATCATTTTGCGTTGCTCATTCCAAAGTTGAGCTGGCTTACTTACACATTCACTTAAATAGCACTCACTCGCATCAACAAGTAACTTGCTTTGTACAGATTCTGGCAATTTTATCGTAACCTGAAGAAGTTTCTCTTGCTCTGCTTTCTGAATAAGCAGCCACTGTGCATCAATAAACTTAGACAGAGGTTTATCCCTTAGCCACTTAACACCAGCAAGTTGATGATATGCATCAATTGTAGAGTTTCCATCAGTAGTAGGGCTTGTAGAGACAACAGCATTTTCCATAAAAATACTACGAACATGCTTTCTAACAACAGGCTCACAACCAATTTCTACTGCTGCCTGCAACAATAAAAATACCAGACAGCAAACATAAGCTTACAAAAAAAAGCACAGACTTTTCAGTTTTTAAAGATCACACAGAAGTTTTATGGGGACAAAGAATCAGTGATAATTTAGGCATATAAGCCAATCTAAAAAAAGGAGTGTGTTTCATTATCAGATTAAATACCATATGCCTGGCACCTTTGAGCACATCTTGAGCTGCCTCAAACATTGCGCAAGTGAAATTTCTAGCTACTTCCTCTGGAACTTCTTTTCCATCTTGCAACTCTTCCAACCTCTACATACAAAATTTAGATTAAGCAACCATTCTTTGTTATGTGTCTGGAAAAAAAAAAAAAAACAAGCCAGAATAGCATACAGACCATCTTTTCCAATGAGAGGTGCAATCCAAATTGTTCAGAATTAAAGCCAAATTTGTTAGCGACCTCCCACAAACCAGCTTTGTAGCATATGCTGTACAAGGATTTTCTCTTTGGCCTTTTAAATTGTCCTTCTTCTACATCAACTTCACCTGGGGGAAAATGCAGGTTGAATTTTGCATCTACATCATCAGCCTCTCTTTCAGATTTTGCCTCCTTAAGAGCTTCAGAAATAGAGCTAAAGATTTGTCTATTTAATGCAAGTCTAGTTTCATCATCAATCCTACGAGCTTCCTCCTCAAAACGTTTGGAGTAGTACATTTCAAGAGCACTCTTGCGCTTCTGAAGAAGTAACCACTTCCTATCCAAACTATGCACTGCCCAAAGAACCTTGAAGAGATGGTAGAATCTACTAAGCACATTATTCAACACCTCGCAATAACCAACAAAGAATGAAGTTATTAAAATGTTCAAATCTGCCTACCTTGTGCCATTTAATTGGAGAATTTTCCTCTGTATTTTGAATCATATCATCAGAATCTTTTAAGAGACTACGGCAAAACTCCTTTCGGTACATAGCAATGAATGGAATCTGGATGGGATCAGAAAGATTAGTGGCAAAATTCTGCTTGTAGGAAAAGTTTTAAAAAATTAATCCATTCAACAAAAGCTAATGCTCACATCTAATTTTTGAACATGCACCATAGTCAAAACACGTCCAATATCTTCCTTATCAATATCCTTTACTAGCTGATCATGACCAAATAGAGGTGAAACAAAGGAACTGCTGAGTTGGTTGTATATCCAGGCACTCTCCTCTTCAATGCTCTTGTCATCTGTAGGTGGAGGTCCTGTAAGGTCCTCCAACAGCTGCATTGAAGAAAAATCCCAACATGATATTTAAGCAAAAAAATTGGTAGCAAAATTGTCAGCATAGATGGAGGCAACGGGGATTATTGGATTACCTGAATCCTTTCAGGTACATCTGTTTCTCTTATAGCATCATCCTTTGGCGTCATATACTTCTCTGAGAGAATGAAGGGCTCAAACTCATCCTCTAGTCTCTTTTCCACCCATTCACTAGAATCTCTTGCCATCCCTTGTTTACGGAGCATCAATAGCTCATCAACATCACCAAATATCTCTTGAGCTTCCTGTAAAGCAGATGACGAAACGCCAGGGGCCTGTTTAGATTTCTTTTTCTTCACCTTGGGTCGCCTATATTGAGCCACATTTCCTTATAGTTAGTAACAAAAAGCCAAATTGTCATAAATAAGCAAAAAAAAATCAAAATTATAAACAAGATAATCTCATTTAGGATAACATTTAGATACCTCACAATGGTGCCATTCTCATCAACATCTTCCTCGTCAACGATAAAATCAGCCATCTCATCCTCATCGCCAATCAAATCCCCCTCTTCTTCTTCTGGTTGCTCCTCTTCTTCAGCAATATCTTCAAGAGGTGCACCTGATAACATAGTATAAAACTTGTGAATGTCATACTAAGCTTGTTATACACTGGGCTGATGAGATGCAACTTAAAGTGCAAACCTTCGTCATCACCAAACAAGCTTCGCTTGAGTTTCTCCTCGGCAGTTCTACCACCACGATCTGCCCTCTCAGATTCTTCATCATCAGAGAAACCGGAACGCTCCTCCGCCTCCGAATCCCGCCCAGCCTTTTTCAAGCGCTTGAATTTGCTACCCTAATCATGTACGCTCAATTAATTTAGTCAATACCAAGATCGATCCAAGCATTTAGTAAATGTGGGAGCAACTATCAAGAATTAGAGCTCAAGTGCCATACTGGTTTAGGCCGATGTACAGTGATGTTATTATCCTCTAGCAACTCATAGTCGTCCTCATCAAGAACGTAAGTCCTTTCAGACTCTCTGCAGTAAAAATAATAAACATGAATAGTAGAAAGGCCAAAGGAAATGAAGCGCATACAAAATCAAACAGATTCTTCGACAAAGTATGGAATAGAGAGGCAGGTATCTTGCCTTTTTTTCTTCCTCTTTTTTCTGTGCCGCTCCTCATCACTGTCCTCGTTGTTCTCCTCTCCCTCTTCTTCTTCCTCCACATCATCCACTATAAACCCATCCTTCTCGTACTCATCTTGTCCCTCTGCTCCACAGAGTGAAGCCCAAACAAGAAGCCTCATTAGAAGCCATTCCAACATAAAACCAAAAACCAACCATAAATCTAGCGTACATGCAGATAAAAGGAGCATAAAAAACAACCTTCTTCATCTTCCTCATCATCATCCTCATCCCTCTCCTCAATATCACCTTTGCCCGCCCCTTGCATGTTCCCTTCGTCATCCACCTCCTCCAACTCATCTAAATTAAACAAGTGAAAAAGCACGCTTATGTTTTCCGCAAGTCGTTGAATTGAAAGAAGAAAACGTATAGAAACTTACCTTCATCATCGGAGACTACTGCTCTCCCGCCCATCCTGCGGTAAACTCGATAATATCGAGCGAACTGGAGCGAACCCTAGACCGAACCCACTGCTGCTAACGAGAGGCGAAATCAGCGGATTCTCTAGCAAATAGAGCCTCTCGGCGATTAAAGAAGCAAGTTAGAAATGCAAAGCCTAAGGCGCTGTTTGGTATCGGATTTATGTTGGGATTTAAGTCGGATTTACGCTAAATCCAGCCAAACGGTTTTTATGCGCGCGTTAAATCCCGGGATTTGAAATCCCAAATTTAGGGATTTACGGCTTAAATCCCGGATTTACTAAATCCCTCGGTTCGGTGGATTTAACGGGATTTAGCCTTAATTTTATAATTAGTAATTAATATTAATTTAATTAGGTTAATTAATATAACTTAAACTATATATATTATTATTTATATATATTATTATGTATGTAATTAATAGTTAATAAGTACTTTGTACATAATATGTTATTAAATTCATAACACAATAATTTTTATTTTTAATTTTATAATTATTTTCTTCACATTTAAATCCCTAACTATCATAAATCTTGAAATATGTACCAAACAGTTTCTCATAATTTAACAAGATTTAACATTTGACGTACCAAACAGTTTTTAGAATTTGAAACATTTCGGATTTACTAAATCCAAATTTACAGGATTTGCTAAATCCTACTAACAAAATAAAATGGTAATTAATAGACTTTACAGTGGTTTAAGATATTTAGAAAAAAATATTAATATAATATTATATAATTATAAAAATTATGTAGTTTTAATATAAAGATCATATAAAACATTGTATTGAATAGAACTCTATAAATTATAAAAAAAATATTCATTAAATAGCCCATCATTTAAAAAAAAAATATTGATAAAATTGGTTTGCAAAACAAACAACTAATTATCCCAAAACCCATGTGTACCTACATGTGAACACTACCCCTAAAATTAGAAGAAAGTTATTATAAATAAAGCATAATAATATTAATATTATGATGAAGACAATTTTTTAATTGGACTTATAATGAGTCCTAAAAAAATTTATTTGTCTAAGTCAAAATAATGACTAATATAATTAGAGTCCTTTGCATGCAACAACTTCACATGATAATCAATGATCCCTATATAAAATGGAAAATTAAGATTGCCCATTGAATCATACCCAAAATACTTGAGATGCAGTTAAAAAAAAATGAAAATTATATAAGGCAATAGGTTAAATAGTTTTCCAACTTCAGATGGGCTTACTCGTACTACCCAAAGTTTATAAGATAAAGTATGATAATTTCCTTAACTAAATTATACTTCATTTTATATATATTGATAAAGCTCCTCCTAATGGCTTTGTTTAGTATCAAAGCTGCTCTTAACTTCTCTGCTATATATCACAACTTTTCTCTATAATTTACTCTATGGGATGGTTTGACGTGTTTGCTGTGAATCCCTAAAATTTTCTTATAAAATTTTTTGACATAGAACAATCAATATTTATTTCGGGAGTCATCTTTAGTCCAAATCACAAACCGTCTTCGCCGGAATATTTATAATGTTGTGTTTTAGCTTCTCTAATTTTTTCATAATTTTTTGGCACTGCCAAAATTTCTTAAAAAAATCGGCACATATTGATACAAGTGAGAGTTTTGGGACAGTCATGTGTTCGTTTTACAAATATATTTCATCATAATATTCTAAATAAAATTAGATAATTTATGAATATTTTTTCGTAGATTTTGGAATTCCTAAAATAATTTTTATGAATTTTCTATTGAAAATTAGTTATAATAATATTATTATACATTATTAAAAAAAAAAAACATTTTAAAACACTACCTACCCTAAATCCATATGCGCCTTTCATTTCCACTTAACAGAAACGGCTAACAGAGGATCAAAATAAAAAAGAACTAGATAAAAAGAAAGAGAGAGAGAGAGAAAGACCGATTTTGTCTTGAGGTAAGGCATATTTTGCCCATTTCAAATTTAAAAAATGTACAAGTTTTAGTGAATATTTAGATTACAACTTTGTATCCGTTAGCAAAAAATGGGGATAATTTTGCACTGATAAAATTTTCAACGTGTAACTTTTTATATGTTATAAAGATTATGATTATACACATCTTAAATATTTTCTAAAAATTTTACATTTAGGGTTTTGAAAATTGCAGGGTTTTTATTGAATAAAATTATATGGATATTGAAAAATAGTGATGTAGTGCAATAAAAGTCTTAAAACATCGTGTTACGCAATCTCTGGTAATTTGATAGTTTTTTGAAACTTTACATTTTTTCCTAGTTGGTTTTTTGGTTGTCTGTTGTTACATAATTTTGTAAAATTTTGATAGATGCTCAATTACTTTTTAATTGTTATAATGTGATGATATATATGCATATATGATTAAATTGTATCTATTGGGAGCTATCATGGATCATAATTCTTTGAGATTTTGTCTATGCCAATAAATTATTGGGAGTTATAAGGGGCAATAATCATTTGAGATTATGTATGAGACAGGGATATGTGATATATTCTGGCGCTATAAACACAAATAAAAATGGAGTCATAAGTAGTCAGAATCTTTTGAGATTATGTCTGGGTCCAGGAAATGTGATCTAAAATACTATGTTATATGAATTTTAATTAATTTATTTGTTTAGTATTGTTGATTTAAAATAACTGCTATGCATTTATTGCATCTCTCATTTTAATGATTTATTTAATTTACATTTAACTACTTTTAAATATTTAGTAAAATATTTGATAAAAGAAAATTTAAAAACTTAGATTAATTTGTGTGGTTTGTTGATCTCTTGTAGCTCACTGTGGTTTTGCTTCTAATTTTAGGATCTAGGAAGGGGAAAAGGTTGTGGACTAGCGATTCAGGATCAAATCTAAGGTCATAAGTATTTTTCTATTTTTGATTTTTTTGTACAGTCATGACTAGTTAAATTTTCAATTTTGTAGCTCTTACATATAGTCATTTACTGTAGTGTAGATATTTATTTTGATGAAATAAAATAAATTTTGTAGATGAATTTAATTTCAGTATTTGAATGTTTTAGTAGATATGTAGTATGTAGTTTATTTCAATAAATATTAGCATGAAAATCTAAAATAATTTCAAAACTATATCTTGAGATTTGTTTATCAAAGCTCAGCATAATATGACATGTCCTGATCAGGTTGGATTGTGACATATGCATCCACAACTATTTTCTTCCATTATTGTACATGTTTCAAAATATAATCATGGACAATTATGTAATTTTATATGGCAGCTCTTGTGCTTATATACCTACACTATAACATGTATCATGAGCCCACATCGCTATAATTGTAACTTACAAGTACATGATCTGCCAGCGAATTGACGCATCGATTCATTAAACAATGGGTCCCCATTAGCAAGCACCACAGAGGAGGAAACTCTTCAGCGTTACGGTATTAGTTCATTTTATGGGCGCCGCGGCGTAAGTATCCAAAGCGTCGCGGCACTAGAGTCTGTTTTGTGTTTTTCTATAAATAATTTGTTATAATATTAGTAAGGGAGTTCATTTACTTAGTTAATTTCAAACTTCGTAATGCTTCTCTGCAATTTTCTTAGGAGTGACAACTAAGGGAATTCAAGGATTACTAGATCCACTTTATAAGAGTATTTGGTTAATGTTTATGGAAGCAATTCTGTAAGTTCAAGTCGGAGTGTAGAGGAGATCATTGTACTCATCCGGTGATATCTTTTTTTGTACTTTCTTTCATTTGTGTAATTAATAAAAAAATATTTTGTTTAACTTATTCTTCATGTCTGACTAAATTCTCTAATTTTGAATTGATGGTGTAAATGAAATATGAAGTACTAATGAATTTTATTCATCAATAATTTAAAGATATTTTTAATATAACAAGTCTTCATTTAATGCATAAGTGGTCATATAAGAAGTTAATATCATATGTAATATGAAGCCTATGAATAAGAGAGCAGGCTCAACCAGATATATTTGATTAATATGATATAAGCATAAGCATAATATTTGACATATACTAAATTTATATATATAAATTATAATGAGGGGATTTTAACAGTATATGTTTTACTTGCTCTTCTAAGATTTTCATAGAGTGACAGACTATATGAGTTTTGAGTGGTCTTGAGGTTTGAAGGTTTAATATATCAGTTGTCTCTTCACGCTCGACTGAGTCGGCGGTTATGTATTTGCTATGAATATCATCAATATAAAATAGAATCATCCTAGATTGCCATCATTATTATAAGCCTATTAAATAAAGTATTCAAAATCTACCATAAAAGGTTCCATTAGCTTATTCAAACACAAAGAGGCAATTTGTGATTACTTATATTTACATTGGATATTGGATATGAAATAAAATATGTTTGATATCTTAAAATATATTTGATATCTTAAAATATGCTATTTTTATTTATTTGGTAGGTGATGGTCATCGGTAGATTTGCGACGATAGTGGCAAAAGACGACCAGAATGGTGGTGGTAGCAGGGTCTCTAATGCACTGCTGACGATGATGGTGATGATAGCCCACAACAAGGATAGCTGTGGTTGATAGCGATAGTTATTTTAAAATGACTCAAAACATCTAAAAGTTAGGTCGAGTATTTTTAAAAATAAATTAATTTTTCTAAAATTTTTAAAAAAGCTAAAAAATGCAAAAATAAATAAATAAATAAATAAAAATAAAAGTAATTTCAATCAGACTAAGGCAACTCTTATAAAAAATAAAATAAACAAAATTATATGATTGAGTTTGAATAGTCTACTTAAAATTTTTCCTAAAACTCTCCACAAGTCATTAACATCTTTTGAATGAGAATTTGGCGAATCTTATTCATTCATCGAGCTAAGCCTTTGAAGGAGAACTCCAAGATTTGTAAGTATATTCAAATGTTCTCCTTTTAAGTCGGCATAAATCTCGCTAACTTCGCTACAAAAGACTAAAGTGCAGGAGAGATTATTGGGTTTGGACACCGAACGTAGGTTACCGTTCGGTACTTCAGAATACCAAGTAATACTGAACTAAGTATTGTGAAGTACTGAGTTCGGTACTCCACAGTACCGAGCAATACTGAGCTCGATACTAAGCAGTACCAAGCTCAGTACTGGTCAGTAATGTGGACTACCAAGCTCATACAGATCTTAGTAACGAGTAGTGGGTAATGTGGAGCATTAGGCTCTGAACATCGTCCAGTGTCCGAACCCAATAATTCCCCCAAGTGCAGCCTTTAATATATTTCATTTCATTTCCACATATATGCTATAATTATGTAATTTATATTTTTTTCTCTTGATGTAACTCCTCCCTTTGATAATTTTCTTCATTTCTCTCTTCATTCTCCACGACACTTTTGGAAAAGCACAAGTACTACGCACTCTCTTGTGCACTTCAAACATTGAAATAATAAATATTTGATTTTTAAAAAAAAATATTTAGATCAATTAAGAAAAACTCATACACAAATCACATACGTAAGACTCAACTCAAATTCAAGACCTCTTAATTAATAACTAAAGCTCCCAACCAATAGAATGCATATAATTGAACTCAATTGCTGTGAGAATGATTGTAAGTAGCATACCAAATCATTAAAAAATCATCTCTTACTACAACAACCTTGTTTCCTTATATAGCAACTTCATTGCAATACTCTCCTCTATTGGAGGAAATATTATGTGCGGTGTCTAGATGGAAAAAATCATCCGGATTACTGCATTTTCACTGAGTATTTATTGAGTATTTATTGTTTACTTGTAAATATTCAATTAATATATAACAAATCATCAATACTCAATAAATATTCAACAAATACTCACAACTAAATATTTGTTGAGTATTTACAAACATATAGTAAATACTCGGTGAATACGCAATTAATCCAAACGATTCTTCCCGACCGAACTCCACAGAATAATATCTCCCTCTTTCGTACCTCCACACCCACCCTATACATTTCTATTGGTTGTCTTACAATAACAAGTTTTCAATCCTTTACAGCTTATATATATAGTACTTTTACAGCTGACTGTTGAAGCCTTGCAACACATGATACTCCCCCCTTATGGATAACCTCCTTAACTAACCCCAAAACATTAACAAATTCTAACACCTTTTGCTTTCTTCAATTAAAACAATAAAGAACACTAACTATAACTGCTAGTTAAGTTCCAAAATTACAACCACATGTAATAACTAACAAAAATAACACTTTTACATGAGATAATAGTTAATTACATAAAGATAAAACTTGCAAAGAGCTAATGCAAATCTTGTGGAGCTCCTCTTAACAAGAATCCTATTGATGTCATACATCAATTCACTCACTTGAAAGAACCTTACCCTACAAAGTTAATGTAGCAAGCACAAAAATACTAAGTTTCAATTCCAAGTCTGTGAAGGGAAACAGTGGTCAGTACTTTCATGTTTTCTGCTTTTACTTACTGAGATGTGTGAAGTAAATTATGTAATGAAAAGAGAAGTTAAACTGTTCACATAGGCAGTAAAAAGAAAACATTAAGAAGCGTGCGCCTAATTCAACATTTTCTTCCTCTAAGCATGAAAAAGAACTTACAGTCAAAAACTGGAATAAAGCCAAGATCCTGATAGACTCTTCTCTTCAGCTGAATATTCTGATAAAATTTTGGTTAGGAATAGAAGAATTGATATTCAAACAAATAAGCTCGTCCTAATAAAAAATTATATGGCTCGTAATAAAACCAAAGCTTCAGCTTTAAGGATGAGACTATGTCTTCGTTTGGGATGGCTTTCTTACTGCTTTTGAAGTGACTTTTTAATTAAAAAAATTTATTTTTTTAATAAAAAGCTGCTTTAAGAAGCAGGAAGAAAGCCATCCCAAACGAAGCCTATGACACTGCATTCTCTGGTTGAAATTGAGGACCAGAATATCCTGTTCTTTGATGATTTCTTGGTACTAAAAACTGGCCAAGCTGCAATGTCTTATGAGGCTGAACCTTCTCAAATGAAGTGTTGTTTCTGCTGTTTCTACCAGAACACTTCCAACTACTGTCCCTTTGATGATCATCTACTGGATACCCTGAATTCGTATGATTCCAGCTACTGTTTCTTCTATCCTGACAATCCTTCCAGCTATCATGATGCCTCCATGATTCATCCTGATCTTTCCAGCTAACTCGATGTGAAGTTTCCTTTCCATTAACATACATTGAATGGTTTCTCCTACTTTGCCAGGAATCACATTGCACAATTCCATTCCCCCAACCATTGTTGACACCCATATCATCCCATAAAGAAGCTGGAACTGGTTTTTCAATATGCTTGTCCCAATTTGAGGAAGATTGCTCAGCCTCACCACATCTTGTCACAGCCATGGGTTTATCTTCCAAAGAATCCAAATGATTAATAACTGGTTCGACATCAGTATCGGGGTTGACGAAACTTCTTTCTATATCTGCTGCTAGCTCAGGATCAATAAAAGTATCAAAATCGACCTTTTCAATATACATGTCCGGGTCAGGCAGTGGAATGTTACAAGGGAGATGATTAATTTTCGCCCAATATCGTGCTTTTGCATTGTGGAATGCTTCTCGCCCCGCAGAATCATCCCATTTGGCGACGTTCTTGTAAATGTACAATACTCTATCAGCATCACATATTTTCCTCCAAGGAACTCGGCACACATAACTGCAAAATGTCCTCTCCCATGAAGGAACTGTATGATAGCTATCTCCTGACAGAGAGAGATAGAAAGAGAGGGAACAGATAAGAACAATTCGAAAATGGTGCGAATAGTTTATAATCAGGACTTCTCTGGGAAAGAATGTCATGTGTATGGGTGGGATGAACCAAATGAATGCAAAAAAGATGATAACAAAATCCTATTACAGTCTTAACTGAGGAGAAACGTATAATAGAATAAAAATAAGATAGTAAACAAAACAAAAACTTTGAATTTATATCCCAATCAAAATGAAATTTTGAATTGTACACTGTATTGATAGATGGCTCAAGAATATTCATATACAAAATATAGAAGAAATTATTGTTCTTTGGTATTGTCTATTAACCAAGATCAAGTTGAGCTCTTCAAATACATGCTTATGTTAAGAGAACTGATCATGGTTCAATAGGCACAATGAGCTTGCTAACCATGATCAAACAAAATGCGTAAGTAGCATAACTAGTTTACATACTGATGCGGACATCCAACTGTCCATGCCCATCCGAGGAGGAGTTGAAGATCGATGGCCGTGATCGTCCTACATTATCTTAAGTTTTTATTTGTAATTTTTATTTTAATTATGCATTTTTCATTTTTACCCTTAAGGGTTTAATTTTATGTAAGCTCTAGGTGTATGATTATCATATTTTAGTTTCTTTTATTTCTGAGGCCTATATATAGAGGCCCTTGCTAGTGTAATGGTATGATAGAGTTTTAATAAAATTTTATTCTGCACTTTTGTTCTTTGGGAGGACGTTAGTGAGAATCCCTATGGAGGGAATTGTGGTTTCAACCATCTACATGATGGGTACGAGCTCGTGGTTTGAAGTCCCTTAGTGAAGGGCATCATATCACCCGTCGGTCTTCGAAAGAGTCTAAGGCTCGCGGTTCTATCTTTTTTTTTTTTTCATTGTTTTGTTTTTCCTTATTTCCCTAAACCGCCACCTCCTCAAGCCCTCCACCAAGGCGCGATCCTCTCACCCCATCACCTCCACACCATCGGCCTACACCAGTCCCTTTCTTCTTCCTCCCTCCCCTTGGCCGAAACCCTCCAAGGCTCCACCCACCCGCCGGCCACCTCCTTCCCTAACCCCACTTCACTCCAAAAATTCATCTTTCCTTAATTAAGTTGTCATTAATTTGAAAAGATTTTAAATTCAAATCAATCTAATTTGAATTTCAAATCCATCCTTATTAATTATGAAAACTTCTTTCATTCAATTAATTAATCAATTCTAAAATTGATTGGTTAATTAATCCCTAACCCAAATACATTGAACCTAGACACCCCTATTCTCCCCTCCCTCTTTCTCCCTCCATTCAATTAATTTCCTTCCCCTTATTGCTCCCCAATTATCTCTCATCTCTTAATTTTGAATTTTAAATTTTGAAAGGTCTTTAATCTCTTTCCTAATTTAAGATTCTAATTAAAGAATCATTCAATTACCTCATTACCAACTTCCTAATTTAGCCATCTTATTTGAAAAAATTTCGTAATTCAAATTCAAATGAATTTGAATTTTAAAATCTTTCCTAAATATCCTACACCTATTTTAAAAAATTCCCCTCAATTAATGCAAATATGAATTAAATGATTGGATTTGAATTTAATTCCCCCTATTCAATATATGTGGGCACATATATTGAATGTGGACAATTCTTCCTCTCCCCTCTCTTTGGCCGGCCCCCATCCCTCCCTTATCCAATAAATTAAAATTTTTTTAAAATTCAAATGACCCCTACATCGTTCTACATCACATACAAGCTTACAATAAACTTGCTTTAGAGGTAGCCTATGACAATCTGACTTATCAGCACAGCTAATCCAAAATAACGGATGGATGCATAAGCCTACAATAATCGTCTCCAAGAGTTTAGGAGTTATTCAATATAGTGCATTATTACTATTTTATTTCTATGAGTTTTACTACCCTTGGAACCTACTTTAAGGATACCCAAATTTTGCATTATAGAAGAAGAATTAACCTTGGAATCATACAATTGCTTTGAGTGTCATTCAATAGGTAAAAGACAGTTATAGTTATGGCAGGACTCATTATATTCAAGCTCAAACATAGTAAATGATTGGAGGATTATTCAATAAGTAAAGGATGGTTCTAAATGACTCATTATATTGTATATCAATTACAGTTGCACTTAGAAAGCATTTTGAAAGATGAATTTATAGATTCATGACCACTAAGGCTAAGCTTTAACAATGCCAAACCTATAAAATGCACGGAAAATTATTCAAACCACAAAGACATTATACTAACGCTATAGCTCAGACCATCAAAAACAAAAATGCCAACTTAGGTAAAGCATGCTTAAAGATTGTCGAGTAACAATACATGTCAGATAGTTTTAGCCCCAAGAATTTCAGTACAAAACGGCCAAATGATTTAAGGATCATGACTACATGCAAAAGCATTCATTTTTCAGCTTCTACGAATTGGTTTAAGGTTTCCAAACAACATTCATAGGCAGTAAGGTTAAACGTCCAAAACACCAAACATCCATTACTTGATTGCTTTTACAATAAAAATTAGGAGAATTTATGTACATACCACAGATATCTTATATATTTATATAGATAATACTTAAATTTTTATATTTACTTACATAACAACTCAATCTTAGATCACATAAAAAATGCCACTAAAACTAACTTATCTAAAATGAATTACATCTTTTCATGCATATGTTTTGATGTGATTTAGACATCAAGGTGCTATATAAATAAATTTATAGATTTATGTGTTACATATGTAAATACATAATAATTCTACAAAAAGTATGTAAATCCCCCTAACAACACAAAATAGATACGTATGAAGAACCCGTTCAACACAATAAACCATCAAAGTCTACAAAAATTTCACAAATATATCATGAATTACCCCATCCATTCGATGTAAGTTTCCCTGAGCGTTCGTCCTCCCTCCAAGATCTAAATCCTGCAAATTAAAAGTTGCATCATGGAAATATTCTTATCATATATATCAAACAATGCAGTAAAAAGAGAAAGAATGAAAGATGACACAAAAACACACATTTTCCACAGAAATCTTAAAAAAAAAAAAAAAAAAACACTCCAGTATGAATTCCTAGCAGAAATGCCAGGACTTGCAGAGCTCACAAAGGATTACCAAATACTGGAATATCCAAACCTCCTTAAAAAAAGCATAAAGACGACACGCAAGTACGAACACTAGATCAATAACTAAGAGATTAGACAAAACACGCAGCCAATACAAAACCCTAGATCCAAATCCACAAGCCAGTACCAAAGAAGCAGCATTTCCAACAAAAACAAGAGATTAATGGAGCTATTTGAGGCAGCTCACCTTGATCATCTGTTGAGCATTGGTTAGCAATCAAGAGTTTTTGAGTTCGGAGCTTGCATATGTGATGTGTGTGAGTTTGTCTTACTTGGCTCAAAAGTCCCAAAAAAAAAAAAAATTGCTAATGAAACTTACCAGCCTGATTCTGCTGTCCCCAGTGCCTAGGTGATTTCGATGGCCATCGTCCATTGTCATCAAGCTTCGATTGATCCCAATTGCCCCAACGCCTCTTCTCCCCCATCTTTCGAAAAGCTTAACCGACGAGAGATCGACGATCGAAAGAAGAGCTAGAAGGCTGTATCGTGGATTGGACGCGCAGTGCTAGGGTTTGGTGAGGATATTGATCTCAGGGAGCAGAAGGATGCCTGAAAGAGAAAGAAACGAGAAGGGGCGGGACACCTAAAATGCTGAAGGGGCTGTTTGGCAACAAGTAGGATTTAACTTTTTTTTTTTTTTTTTTAATTTGGGACATAGCCCATTTTATTAAACACAAATAAAAAGTTCAACATAAAGGTTCAAACTAATACAGAAAATAAAAAAGAAAAATACAACAATAGCCAATCATTCTATAACAAATATAGAATGAATAAACCCAAACCAATACCTATAGAAAACCACCAATTATAGTAGGATTTAACTTTAGTGGGATTTATTAAATCATGTAAATTTGGATTTAGTAAATCAAAAATGTGTTAAATCCTTAAAACTGTTTGATATGCCAAAATGTTAAATCATGTTAAATTCTGAGAAACTGTTTGATAACATATTTCAGGATTTATAGCTGTTACACATTTAAATGTGAAAAAGATAATTATAACTTAAAAATAAATTTATAATAAAAAATAAAAAATATTGTGTTATAAATTTAATAATATGTTAAGTACAAATTACTTATTAATTATTATTTATACAATTAATTATATATTTAATAATAGATATATTAAGTTATATTAATTAATCTAATTATATTAATAATTACTAATTATATAATTAAGTTAAATTAGATAATTAATTTATGCACTAATTATACAATTAAAAATCCGGGATTTACTGAATCCCGGGATTTAACGTGCGCACAAAAACTGTTTGGTTGGATTTAGCCTAAATCCGACTTAAATCCCGCTGTAAATCCGATACCAAACAGCCCCGAAGAGTGAAGAAGGGAAGGTGCTGTTCAACTATTATAACTTTTTAATCTTCATTTTCTTATTTTCTATAGTAAACTTTTCTTCAATTGAATGTGAATATATAAATTTAATGTAAATAAAAGTTGTGAAAACTAAATTCAAAAGAAGGAGAGGTTCATCAACCAATCGAATTGAGGTCGAATTAGATGACCTAATAAATAATAATATTATTAAAAATTAATTAAATTAATATAATATAATGTAATTATATGAGCATTTAATAATATTTAAAAAATTTTTAAAATATATAATAAAAATTTATAAATTCGAACTATATTATTCATGCAACTTTTTTAATCCTATTTCATATGAGAAGCTTGAGGTTGTTGTCTTAAACCTTTTATATAGTGTAAAGTACATATTTTTTGTTAAATATATTATTTGAGATATTTGAGCTAGCATACATATATTATTGTGTAATTAATCATCATATTTGATAAAAATATTTATTAATTAAAATATATTATTTAAAATTTAATTAAAACAAAAATAGTTTTTTTTTTTATTAAATTGGCGGGTTCCATTCTACCGGTTCGGTCCGATCTGATTTTAAAAATAATGATATAAATAAAATTAAAATATTAGCAATAATCTATAAAATTCTTATCAACACTATTTTTCTTAATTTAATTATATTTTGTTATTTCTCATAATTGAATACTGCCATTGTCACTAGTTTGACGAATAGAAATATATCATATTGTCTCTTTCTATTATTATATAGTAAAACCATTAATCTAAATTAAAAAATCATCAATTCAATTATTAGAATAAACATAACATATTTCAAATAAGATTTTTAAGCATAAAAGTTATTTAAGCCAAAAAAAAAAGGAGAATTATTTTCACTTAGGGTTTGTTTGGTTTTAGTTTGAACTTTGAAGTAGGCATGAAATGTTTCATTTGCTGAGATTTTAAAAATAATAACGCTTGAGCATTTTACTTGATCATCAAGAATAATTCAATCTAATCTAAAGAATTTGCCCCTTAGTTGCTTAGAAAACCTTCGCACCTCAATCAAGAATAAAGTATTCTATGCAACATCGGATGCTGTCTAGAGGCCAATCAGAACAGTCACATTACATTTTTGCTCGATAACAGTGCTGGATAGTAGATACCGCTCAGACCGTCCAATTTCCGCACAAAATAATTTCTCCACCTCAAGTACATCAAATTACTCATAAGCCCTAATACAAAAAATTAATTAAAAATAAACATATTTTTCATTAATCATAGAAACCACCTTATGAGATTAATAATAATATTTACATTATTTAAATTAGTAATTAATCAACTAATTTGCATATTTTTCACTATTTAGCACATTTACTTTTGTAAATAATAAAAAAAGCAACAAGAGAAGATTTTAAGTGCATTTTAAACTGAGAGTTTAGCACCAAACAACGATTAATTAAGAAAAAAAACACTTAAACATACAGACGATCCCCGATGTGATCCACATTGATAATTAATTAATTTTTTTAGCAACATAATTAGTTGATTGACATCTTCATCATAGATATACAACTTCATATCATGATCGAGTTGAAATATTCTACATAGTTATTAATACACAACTTCAAAAGTTAAAAAGAATATTAATTTATAGAAAAATATTAAACTATTTTTACCTGCACCATGCTTAAATTCAAATATTCATTTAAAGAATTTAACAAACAAATTAATCAAAATGATTTTTTTTTTTTTAACTTGCCTTCAATAAATCTAATGAGTTTTGATAAAATATACAATTTTAATGATCAAGATTCCATCAGAGCTTCAGCTTCTCAACATCTATAAAGCTGTTGAGAAATTCAAAGAAGAAGAGCAAAAATATATGATCCAAAATGGACCTCCACAGAAAGCAAAAGCCTTTGTATATTTATAAAAGCAGGGTTTGATGAACATAGTTCCATCTGTGCATTCACAAAATCAGAGGGGCTTATATATATATATATATACCTGCACCAGTAGAAGAAGACCTGAGCAATAAAAGTTTTTGCCTGGACCAAAGTGTAGCCTCTCTCACCTGAAACCTGCACATATTATTAGCATTAGGAGATGACAGAAATGCTCAGCAGTTCCAGGATTATCTACCACAAATTGCTTTGCTAGGTGAAGGCATTCACTGCCACAGCCTACCAGCTGAGCTCATATTGAATTTAGTTCAATTGAGCTTAGCTCGACTCACGAGCTGACTCAACTCAAAATAATTTGATCTGGAGTTGACTAGAAGGCAATCAAGGCAAGTTAAAATTGATTTTTTTTAATAATACATATAATTAATAAGTTCATGTACAACTAATATGGATAGAATACACAGAGGCAAGTAAACTAACCTTTTATTCAATTATTATAAATCATAATGATATTACATAATGAAGTAAGAATAAAAAATAATTAAAAAAAGAAATAAAAAACATAAAAATTGAATAACCAAAGCCCAAAAGGAAATACTAATCGTCTGTTACAAAAATTTTAAATGCCAACTAAGAGATCCTACTACTGGTAAGTCTACTTCTATTATGATAGACGACCATAAATTATACACAAGAGAGTTTGGTGAAATTTTTATCTCACAATAAAGTCAATAGTAGATTTCAATTCTGGTCAAATTTTGATTTTTTTTTAATATATCATGTGCCTTCCCCTTCGAAGAGGGTTGCGAAGCATCAGTCTACTGCAGGACTAAGGTTTCGTTTGGGACGGCTTTCTTACTGTTTCTTAAAACAACTTTATTAAAAAAATTGCTTTAAGAAGCAGTAAAAAAGTCGTCTCAAACAAAACTTAAACTTCTCATGGCATGCCAGTTATTGAAAGTGAAACAAAAAGAATAGTAAGTATTTACCAGCTACAGCCGTTAAGCTAGAGCTTCAGTATAAGCCCTATAGGACAGTGATCACTGCCATCCACATGTGATAGAATATAAGAATCATGAACCTTATCTGCAATGATCTCGGAGACTAGAAAGTAGTCAAGCCGCCATCCTGTGGTGAGGCAAATAGATCAGAGGTAGAAATCCTCGCCTTCACTTGTAATAGTCATAAAAAGAATTTAATGGAAGAAAGGAGCTGAAAGCATTATTATAAAAGTTTGTTCTCGTTAACAAGCATGAATAAAGTAGAATGTTCAGAACTTCATATTAATAAGCTTAATCCTTTGCCTGTGTGAAGCAAATGACAATGGTGTGAATTGATTCTGCATCCGTGCATAATAGTAACAATAAAATGTTTAAAAATGCATGACAAACCAAAAACTCAAGATATGACCAAACAGTTAAAAAGGTTATGGATTTTGATCCTTATTGTTGGTTTTTTACTCCACCCATAGAAGTGATACCTAGAGCTTGGGAGTCCACGATAATATATAGGAGGTCAGTCCGATTGTGGGGAAATTATTATGTGCGGACGCCAAACGCCGTCCAGAGACCAACCAGAATATGCCACGTCACCCCCGCTCTGTACCGTGGCTCAGTACTGTGCTTGGTACCACTCGGTACCGCGCTCGGAACCGCTGACGTGACACATTCTGATTAGTCTCCGAACGGTGAATTGTGTTCAATGTCCGCAAAGAATAATTTCCCCCAATTGTGATTGTAGGACTAATCTCCAAATCATGTAAATACTGTGTTTTCAAGGGAAAATCCACAATAAGCGTGTTGGAACAGTATAGCTCAAAACAACTTTAAGAAAAAAATATAAATTATTTAGCTAGCTGAAGCACTATCTCACCATTACAGGATACCTAGCCCTCCTGATGTCAGGCTGCACATCTTGTCAATGCGCCCAAGAGAGTGTCGCTTACTAGTTAGGAGATCGGGCGACCGGTGTAGATGTTCCCTAGTGCCACCTCCGCATTTGAAAAGCAGTTCTTTGGAAGCATGTGTCATGCCCATTGTTTGGCAATTTACTCATTTTGAGAGGAAGGTCTGTTCTAATTCATCTTCCTATTCGAATTTTGCTCTTCCATATGGTTATTGAAGTTACGGAAATAGCATCACTTTGAGCAAGATGGGATTAATTTGATAGAGTACTACGCCTTCTTCAAGCATTTCATCCAAAAAAAATAAAAAATTCCTCTTGCAATAATTTGTTTATTATGGATTATTACACCGTCTTTGCTATTGATAGTAAGAATTAGATAGTATTTAAGTGATTAATTTTGTGGAGAGATTATTATGTGCGGAGTCCGAACGTCACTTTTCATCCGGACTTCAATCACATGAAGACAGTTGGATTTTCTCTTTCTTATATACAGTTTGAAAAAAACTCACGTGTCTTCGTGTGATAGGAGCCCGGACGGCGTCGAGACTCCGCACCTAATAATTTTTCGATCTTGTGACTATAACATGACAACATTTTAATTTTACCTTCATCTCAAATGTGTATCTTAAATGAGCTTATAAAACTATTTCAAAAATTATTTCTACGAATTTTTCTTCATAGTTTTCTAGAGTATATCAATCAATCCTAGTTACCTTTAGCTAACCAAAAAACATTCCCAAATAATCCAAAAGTAAAGTGACATCTAAGCTATTTGAGTTAACCACTTATTTAACTTAATTATCTAAGTTATTCTGCTAGCAAAATAGAAAATCACTTATTAAAATCTTAACATTTGGGCCTTAATGTATTGGTGATATTTTAGTTAATAATATAATTTTGCTAGCAAAATAGAAAATCACTTATTAAAATTTGGATATTTTGTTATAAATTTTAAAGCATCTCTAAAAAAAGTATTCATTATTTTAAAGCCGACAATTATGGTCCCAAGCCAAGATAAAAATAGTTGATGATATTTTTAAACGTTAACTTGTGCCACACCATGAAATATTTCTTGCTCCGCCCCTGTCCTTTTTGTTATATTACGAATTTTCATTTTTTTTTTATCTTCATCCTCAATACAAACAACCCCAAACATGACAATAAAAGGCAATCATTATTTGATTCAAAAAACCAAAACAATGATTGAAATGAAAAATAATTACTCTTGCCTTGAACATATCAAAAGTACTAATTAATGACACCATACATAAGAATTTACTTAAGTCTATTGATAGGCTACCCGCCCGCCATCAAAAGAAATAATAAATATATCTATCAAATCAACATATTATGATTCTAATTAAGGGATTAAATTCCCAAATAAATAGGTCTCATGATTCATATTGCCAAAAGGCTAATTACCAACTCCTATTAGATTGGTTCATAGCATTATCTAAAAAAGTTTCATTAGAGGTTATAGTTTGCCATTTTTAATTGTGAAATATGATTATTCAAGAGGTAATCTAGTTAATTTTCTAGGGCTTAAAAACTCAAAAACAATCAACTGCATATATTTTATTAGGCATAGGTTCCTTCAAGATAAAGTGCTTAGCATCTCCATAGATCTTAACATCAGAGATCATTAAGTGCCCATGTCCCTAGGGATTCTATACTTAGCTCCATTTTTTATATACTTCATACGTTGAAGTCTGAGTAGAGGGGATATTGCAATATTAATGGAGCCACGATTACTCTATGAGTGCCCTAAAAGAGGTTTTTGAGACAACCACATGAAACTTTGCCTTTGCATAGAGCTTCCCAAATTTAAGGGGCCTGGATGAAGGACCTGAAGCCTCTAATCCTCCTCATTAAAGAATTACGCAAATACCTTATCTCAAATAAGTTGCCAATGACTTCAAGCTTATTAGATTTTACTAAAGAGCCTAAATTGATAAGAACATGATTTATCATAATGGCATTGCTCTCTATTGTGGCATATATAGGAGTGGTTATATCTTGTTGTCACCAACAAATCTTCATCAAAGAAAGTGATGATTGCCATTGAAATTGCATTTAACATTTGTATGCATATATCAAATCTAATAGGAAATGATGTACACATCCAACAACCTTAATCTAAGTTACAAAATAGAACTTCCGTCTTGCATTTTGAGGAACAAGTTTAAGTTCTGGAATACTTCATAAACAGGCAAATGGAAAAAAAAAATGTTATTGATAATAGCAAGAAAGTTATTCTCTGCCAGCATGTTTACTATAAAAACGCATGACTATAACAACAACAACAACAACATCAAGCCTTTATCCCACTACGTGGGGTCGGCTATATGAATCCTTTTTCTCCATTGTGTCCTATTAAAAGTCAAATTCTCGTTAACGCATGACTATCTAGAACTTTATTTTTTTTTTTTTTTCCTTTAGCAGATTCACCAGTATTTGAATACCAACATTTGAAATCAGTAAGTTTCAAAACACAACCACCTCACGGCATTTTTCTTCATATGAATCATACAAATTTACTTTTTTCGATTATGTTTCGGATCGGAATATCAAAATGTATAAAATTGATGAGAAATCTCCCGCAAAAATTGTTTTGTACCTTTATTTGTCTTGCGCCCTCCGTGCCTATAACCCCAATATGTGTATGCCACTACCCCAGGGTGTTGCCTTCTAAAGGTGTCCACAAAGCCTCTAGACAAAAAGTTCTTTTGAAATGACTCCCTTTCTTCATTTGTAAAGCCAGCACTACGGCGATTTCCCTGTTCATGTCATTTCAATAAAGTATCCATCATCTCATGTGAAGTCATAGTTCAATAGATGTTATCTAATGTATGCAAAAAAAAAAAAATTTCATTTTATCCATATAAATATTTTTCTTCAATTTCACCTAAACCATAGGTCTATAACAAAATAAATAGCTTTGTTTGGTAAGGTTGTAATGATGCATTATGTTGTTTGAATTGAAATAGAGTCACTGCCACTTAGTGTGAGAATAGTTAGAGACTTAAAAGCTAAATTGTATAAACCTAAAATTTGATAGATTATGGAAATATGTACCAGTGCAATTACATAGATTATGGGTAATATGTGGCAATGTGTTGAGCAGCGAAGAAATCATCGATAGCCAAGTTGAGTTTATTAAAATAAGAATATTCAAATGGACATTAGTGAGGTAAAATCATGAAGGATAGATTGAGAAAAAAATTATTAAATGAATGGTGAGAATAGCATGTATTAAATATAAATGGGTGGAAAATAGAATCAAAAGGTTTATGCCTATACATTTAATGGCTAGATTTAAAAGGAAAGAAAGTGTAATAAAGGGAATATAGATGGATGATGAGCAAAAGAATTTAAAAATATATAAATAACGCCTCATATGTGACACTTAACAAGAATGAATAGATATGAGAATTCATAAGCCAACCCCATCTAGTTGGAATAAAGCTAATGATGATGATGATTATGAAGCCTTTTAAAAATCATAAAGCCAACGTAATTCTATAGAGTTCCTCAAAATAATTGTTACATCAGTATGTCTTGGTAAATCTTCATGTCAGCTTAGTCACAAAAAACGCACCCTGTAATGTTTACCATAGCAAGGTTTTACACATGAAACAATATGTTTGGTAAACTATATTACAATAATTTATCATGATTGGAAGCCAATTGACCATAGTGTAACTTTAAGAAATAATTGCAAGCCGAAAAAGTCATAAATAGCTCTTTATTATTGTTAATAATGCTTTTGCAGTTCTATGTAACAAAAATTTACAAGGCAGCTGAAATAATTGAGCATCATGAGGTAATGCAGCTAACTGGAGAGTAGTTGAGTTTTATTCAACCCAAAAAACAAACTAAGACTGAATTATATGCTCCTTTTTTGTCGTTGTTTTTTTTTTAATGACATCATTCTTTCGGTTTGTGTGGTTAAAATGCAAATGAAATCCTATTGCATACGAATTTTTTCCATAGCTTCAAATCATGAGTAATGAAATTGCAGAGCAACCTGGCCATCTCCGTGGTATTGGCGTTTTTCTTCAGAACATGAGATATCATTCGTTTGGTTTATGGTAAACGTGCAAAGGAAAATCCTATTATATATGGACATCCTCCATGGCTTCAAATCATGAGCAATGAACTTGCAGAGCAACCTGACCATCCTTGCAGTAGTATTTTGATGGACCGGTCAAGCCAGTCCCTCCTAAATTGGCCATAGTTTACAGCAGGCGGAAATCGGACCTACATTAAGATCTCGCCCCCTTTGGGGTGGGGCCCAGGGGCATAATTTAAAGGGAGATGGGGGCAGCTAGGAGGGAAAATTCAAATGAATGGACTATTTTGGAATTTGTCTTATTGTTGTATGCTTTATGTAGGTGGTTTACCCTAAAGTTCAGTTTTTTATGCTTGATTTTGCCGAAATTAGTTTTGTTTAGGTTGTGAGGGCTCAAGCTGACAGCTAGAGATTTGGGAGAGCGGGATCTTCCTCTCCAATCGAAGATCCAACTGTATCTTGTGTTTTTCTTCGTAGTCTTTCAATAAAAAAGTGTTCTTGTGTGTTCTTCTTCCAAATTTCTTGTGTCATTCTGTTAGACCGGTCCTCCCTGGACCGGTCAGCCGGCCCAATCCAGCGGGCCGGTTCATTTTTATCGGAGAAGAGGGCGGGCGAACAGCGGGCGGAAACAGGCGGAAACCGCAGGAGGGCGTGAGGTGGGGTCCACTTGAAATTCAAGTTGTTTCTTGGAGCCAAAATGAGGGGAAGTGAGTGCAATTAGGTCCTTTTGTATCTATTTTGAATTGTATGCATTAAGTAGGGAGTAATGAGGAGGTTTAGGGATATGTGTTTTTTGTCTTGTAGTTTCTCTTGTTCTTCTTGTCGACTTGGGCTCTAGATCGTATTCTAGAGATTGGGAGAGTGCGATCCTCCTCTCAAATAGAGGATCCTTGTATCTTTGCTATTTTCCTTTCATCTTCTAGTAAAAGACAAGTTCTTACTTCGTGTTTCTATCATTTTTCTCGTGTTTTCCCACTGTTTTGGCTGATTTCCTGCTGTGGACAGCAGTTTGCTGTGAGATCTTTGGCTAAAGTGATTAGGAAATACTTGGAATCAAGTATTTCCTATCAAATTGGTATCAGAGCAAGTCTTGGGACAAATCGTGGGCTGTTTTGATCAATTTCAGCGGCTGAAATTGTACCGGAAAGGGAGAAAATCACTAAAAAATTTTTTTCCAAATCTTGAGATCTTCTCCTAAATTGCAAGCCGTAGGAGATGGCGGCTAAGAAGTTGGATGCTTTGGAGGAGAGGATTGAAGGAGAGATAAATCAAATCAAGGAAACCGTAGAAGAAAGAATGTCCTCCATGGAAGGACAAGTGGCCGATCTACGGGATATGATGAAAAAGATGTTGGAGTTTCAAACCCAATCGGCGGCATCTGATGCAAAAGGGCCCGCAGTGAAGAACACCAACTCTGAAATCCATAGGGAAGAAGAGGAAGTGGAAATCGTGGAAGGGAGTAGGGGAAGACCTCATCTGGAGCCTTTCCAG